ACAACACCTAAAAGTGATAAGAAGCACTGCCCAGCAGAGCTATCAGATGTTGCTTTTGGAAGTGCAGAATTTCCTAAGATGACAATCAGTGCAGATTCTGGAAACATGACAAAACCACAAGTGTCTCCTTGCAAGGAAATGAGAGCTTAAGCATTGACTATAAGGAGATGATAAAGAAGAGGTGGTTGGTGGAGGAGTTTACTAAAGCCAGGAGTATTTAGAGCCAAATGAGGTTCTTGCAGATAAAAATTTCTGGGAATTTAGGGTAAGTTCATACATGATTCCCTGCTCAGGCAGTTTGGGGCTGACAGACTACACCCAACTGCCTTTTCTCTCTAAACAAACAGAAGATCCATCCAGGCCAACTCAGAAATCCCAGATGAAAAGTCTGTTAAATAAAGCAAATATGATGGCAATGAATTTGCAGATATGGTACCAGAGTTGTGTTTTTGAATACTCATGCTAAAGACTAGCACCACAGCTAAGCCAGGAGGAGTTGGTCAGGTGTTCTCAGGGGACAAAACCTGATGCCATTCAAGACAAATGCAGGCACACCCAGCAAGGCACTACATGAAAACCCTTCTGTGAAAGCATCACCTCCCTCAGCCCTAAAACACTCAGTGAACAGCAGTGAACTGAAGAGAATTCTTAATCCTTCAGTGTTACCATTATTAGAGTATCATTCACCCACTTGTCTGCAAACTGCCTTCTTCTCCCACCAACCACTTCGTCTCACAACAATGCCTCGTTTCTGGCTCAGAACACCAACAAAAAGCTCTCCCCTGAGCTTATGGCAGTGTCCCCATCATCACTTGGCAGGAGGCAGCATGACAATGATTTGACAGGCATCCTCACAAGGAGACTCCACACATCAGTCACGCTGCTGACACACTCCACACCCAGAGGAGCTCTCCCAGACTAAGCAAGATTTCTAGGTACAGGCAGCTGCTCTTGACTGACCATCCAAAAGCAGCAGGTTTTTCTGTTTCACTAACAGCAGAACCACAAAGTACCTATTTCCTGGGATGGTCCTGGTGACATTGCCATGCTGGTTTGAGCCAAGTCTGCTTGAGTAAAACAAAGCAGCAGGTAATAAGTAGAGTGGACTAAAGTCCTATTTGTAGTCCAAGAACAAAGCTACTGAGGAAGTACTAGAAGGAAATAGTGCTGCAAAAACTACTGCAAGTTATCTTTTTATGATGTGTAAAGAGTCTATCCAAAGTAAGAGTTTGAGTGACTTTCCTTCATGTACTGCCATGAGACAAACATCTATCACTATCACCCATGTACCAATTTTGCTCAGACAACTGTTGCTTAAAGGACAGTCAAGATAAATAGCTTGAATGAAGGAAGAAACACAAATCCTCTCTTCTTTTCCTACCTGAGGAAAACAAGAGTTTGCAAATCTCCATGTAACAATTTTAAATTTGCTGGATGAAGGTCTTAAGCTCTGACTAGTGACTCATTTCTGAAGCTCAGCACACTGGAGTGCCCTGACATATGTAGGCAATGGGAAATGGGCTTTGATTGAGGCTTCTGCCACCTTTAAAGTGTGTTCAAGGTTCCTGGCAGTCTAACTGTTCATAAAGATAATAAATCCCTTGTGAGACAGCAAAGCTGAACAATCACATGCTTCAAAATGTATCTATCTGTATAGTTCCAAGAACAACTTCCAGTGCAGGTGATAGCAAGCACATGATAAGCAAAGTTCCAGGAGAAAGTCTGCTGAAAAAACCCCCCAGAATTATAGGAAACAGACTGAACTGCTAGTTTTATGGACACAGCTCTATTCCAGCATGCAGGCAGTAAAACTGAAATGAACTCCCTTAAAGTTAAAAATGCCCAATAAAACTCAATAGGCAAGGTAATTATTTTGAATTGACAGGGAGAAGACAGGTCACTCATTCCCACAGAGAGCAGCTCACCTTGCTGACACCAAGTAGTAAGACATCTTTCAGTTAATCTGGGGTTTTTTTCCCAAAGCTACACATTCTGTGCTGTGGGTTTATAACTCTGGCCAAGCCTGTACCACCCTGGGCTAAATGAAAATCTAGAGACCAAAAGAAATGTAGCAGCAGTGCCCCAACAGCCTCTCCCGTGGTGTCACAGCTCCCCCACGGGACCAGGCTGCTTGTCCCAGGACTGACCCGTCACCTACATCCTACTTATTAACACAGGTTCCTCGATATCTCAGCTGTTCAATACTCCCTTCTCCCTTTTGACCTTTTCCTTGGAAAAATGGAAGCAAACACCAATTGAAGGATCAACAAACTGAGAGGATAAACTTAAACAAAGTTTAATGTTACAGACAAATGACTTGTTTCTGGTGACTACTCAAATTGGGGGAGCAAGTTTTTTCATGAAACAAATTACTGTTTGTTTAGCATTAGTCAAGCATACTGATATTTCAGAGTTATGAAAATGACATTGTTTTCTCCATCCTAGCCAGGCAAACCACAAGATACAAAGCTTGAAGTTAACAGCCTAAGTACAGCTCTTTGAAGAAAATTAAAAAGCCACATACCTCCCCAAAAAACAGTTCAGTTACTCTATGAAAGATAACAGTGTGGGATTAACCTGCTATGGAAGAGCATTGGCTCCTGACCCGTTTTCTTCAAATTCTCAAATAGAACACACTGAAGGTCAAGTCCTGACACGTTTTCTTCAAGTTCTCAAATAGAACACACTGAAGGTCAAGGCAAACAACAGAAATCTGCATACCTTTAAGAGCAGAACACAGAAAACACTCAAAGTGAGCTGTTCCAATGAAGCACCTCTCGTGCAAACAAGTGTTGGAAGACAACCTTAATCCTTGATTAAAACAGACCTTCTTGTGACTTTCAGTGGAAATCAAAGACTGACTTATAATAACTGTACCTTTTGCCACCAAAATGGGAAAGGTGCATCTGATGTGCTTTCACATAAGTCCTTCAAATTGCATTCTGACACATCAGACTCAAGTGAATTATCTTCAAGAGTGACCTTAGCTTGGTGATGTAGTCAGCAGTTACAATCCCAAAGTTGTTAACATGACTCCAGCAACTGTTTTCTGTTACATGCAAGTACGTTCATAACTGAATTCAAGTCTTCTCAAAAACACAACTCTTGGTTTCATAAAGCACAGCCCAGGTGGATGTCATTTGGGAATCTGCACTGGTGTAAATAACTTTGTTCTCCCCACAGAGCCAAACCAAGAAAAATGAGGGAAATAGTAAGTCACACCTGCTGAGAATGTTGTGTCATCATGGCATAAATAACCTTACACTGATCAGAAAGAGACAAGTAGTTACGACAAATGCATTTACTGCAAATGATATCGGTTACATAGTCAAGGGACACATTGAAACTGACAGAACAGATCTGTAAGTTGGAATGCTTGAGATGATTCCTGTCGAGCTCTCACCCTCGATGCTCCTCCTTGGTGACAGGATGTTGTACTCTGGGCTTGTTAGGATTGTGTTTAATCAGCCAGTCAGCAAGCCAGATCTGTGGAACAAAGCCCCAAACACTTTCAGATTTCTGTGGTTTTCTATTAAGTGTATAAGAGGCTACTAAAAGCATTATTTGAAACCTCTCCTACAGTGCTGCAAAATTAGGACCTTTCAGCAAAAAATGGACATATGGATAACCTGTGTTTTCAAAATGTTCTTTTAAATCTTCACAGCTTATACTGCTTTTGAACCACTCACACTACTCTTTAGAAGACAACTTTTCCTGGCAATGTTTGTCTTTGTGTATGCATAGGAAGATTTGAGCCATACTTCAGACAATTGAATCAGCTCTGTTTGGAAATGAGGCTGCACAACATGCATGAAACCGCTTCATGAAATGTTACTCCTGATAGCACTTAGAGATAGTTCTTCTAGTAACCATTCACTGAAAGTGTCAGCATTCTGCAGTGAAATCACCTTACAGCAGCTAAAACTTCAAACCAAAGCACGATTACTTTATGAAATTCATCTTGTCAGTTTTCCAGCACGCTGCACTTAAATAAGCATGTGGGAGGCAGGAATACCTCGAGTCCTCCCTCCCCTCCATAGTCTGGGCCTGGCCTTAGGCAAATTCACCTTTTGCCTCCATTTCTCCACTTGTAAGGCAAAATTTTTAACACATCCTTATTTACTTCCCAAGCCTGTTGCCGATTAGTTTCTGGAATGCTAAGTACAACCACCTCCATGCCAGACTGTGAAGTGAAAGAACAGCTAGAACAGCAAACCTAAGGTAAGCAATACCCTCCCAGTCTGGGCCTGGCCTTAGGCAAATTCACCTTTTGCCTCCATTTCTCCACTTGTAAGGCAAAATTTTTAACACATCCTTATTTACTTCCCAAGCCTGTTGCCGATTAGTTTCTGGAATGCTAAGTACAACCACCTCCATGCCAGACTGTGAAGTGAAAGAACAGCTAGAACAGCAAACCTAAGGTAAGCAATACCCTCCCTTTCTCACCTCGTACAAAAAGGTTGGTTTGCAAAGGGAGAGCCAACAAACACAGCACTAGGACAGTCCTCACAGGTTACTCAACACCGGCAAAACCAGTAGTAAGAACCCAAGACAGAAATAGTAAACAAACAAACAAACTATTCCCAAAACACAGAAACCTTTAGAAAAACACTTGGGAAAAAAATTAAAATTTTTAATCATTTGAGCCTGATCGGATTTATTCTGTGTTACCTAAGGAATTGGCTGAGACAATCTCTGTGCTGACAGCAAGTCAGAAAGAAGAAAGAAAAAAGGATTCTAGAAAACCCAAAACATTCCATCCATCTCCCTCTAAGTCACCTAGCAGATAAACTGAAAGCAATAGGCAACATGTACTTCTGTAGCAGTATCGAATCCACATTCTTTTCTTTCAGTTACAAGGTCACAGATATTATTGAGAGGGAAGAAGGTGCAAATATAATATTTTTAGCAAAGCTATTATCATAGAATCACAGAATCATAGAATTGTAGGGATTGGAATGGACCTTAGAGATCATCTAGTCCCAACTCCCTGCCCTGGGCAGGGACAACCAGAGCAGGTTGCTATTGACACAGCCTCATATAGCTTTCTTACAAGCAAGGAAGGAAAGCATTGTCTTAATTAAGTTTCTGTTAGATATCACGTAACTGTCTAGAAAATTGTGCTAGGAATGCAAATTAATTGGAAGCCAAAACAACGAGTTAGAGAAATGGGACTTCTAACAGGAAAAAAATCAGGTTTTAATACAGAGAAGAGATGACTGAAGGGAAAGAAGATAGTAATATTCCAAATAGACATTAGGTTGCTGCAAAAAAAGGAGATATTACATTGTTTCCAATGTCTTCTGGGGATAGTAAAAGGGAGGGGGGAAGTAATGGGCTTAAAATCGGAGCCCAGGAGATTTAGGCTATCTTTTAGTGAAGCTTTTAACTAAGTATAATTAAGCACTGAAACAGATGCCTGGGGAGAATGTCAATTCTCCATCATTTGGAAAGCTAAAGAACAGGCCAGACACACATTTGCTAGGAATGGTTAGATGCAACTGGTCTGGCCTTTGGGCAAAGGGATGGAGTTCACCTCTGTTTTCTAGATTTCTGTGGTAACAGTGCCAGACATACAGATAACACACACAGGTTATAAAGCTGGAACACAGGACATTTAATTTGACTTCATGTATACCACAGAATTCATAGAAACACCCCAAGTTATTCCTTTTTTTCCCTGAAGTGTATCTTTTAGAAAAATGCAATGCTGATTATAAATGATGTAAAATCCACAACTGCCAGCAAGTTGTCACACTGATTAATTATCTGCATGCTTAAAGAAGTGCTAGTGTGAATGACTGGAACTGTAAGAACACAAAAACACATTTACCATATTTTTCCAGATGAAAGAAAGCTGATTTTGTTTAGGGACTGAAAACACACCCTTGTTTTATCTCTAACAAACAAATCAACTTTGTGAAACCAAATGTTATTTGATTAGGTAAAACAGCCTAGCTCTTCAGCTCGTCAACAACAGAGTAGTTTTCCTATGGGAGGGACTTTGCTAACACAAAGTAAATGCATCCCAAAGCTTACACCCCAGTGTAACTGCACTGTACATACCATGGGGTCTGCTGGTTTCTCTCTGCACAGGGCAGTGAGCCCAGCCAGTAACGTGGGCTTCACATGCAGGTTCAAGTAATCCCTAGCGCTTTGTCCTGTGGGAACTGGCTGCGGGATCACTGTAAAGAGTAACCACAGGTGTTAGAAAGCAGCTTGTAGAGTGATTAAAAAAACCATTCTTTCAAAGGTTGTTCATATGTGAGCTGTTCTTCTCCTTAATAAGTTAATAATACATCATGGCCTTTACAGGTTTTCCCACAACAAATTGCGAAGAAACTCCCTAAACCTCTTTACAATGTCCCTGAGGTAATTTTACTAATTATAGTCTGTTATGAAAAGGGAGGAAATCAGATCATCTAGGGAAAACCTGTATCCTTGAAGATGCATTTGGGACAGAAGAGAAAAAATGTATCCCATGTTCAGTACTTTTTTCTTGCAGCGTGAAGCTGATTTCTGCAGATCCTAAAAATCTCACCTTTAGCCCCAATTTGTTGTCAGGGTCAGGTTTGTAGGGAAGTGCAACATCTTTTATTAAACTCACTGATATGTTTGACAGTAGCAGATGTGTTTTTCAAGCAGTTTCCCTTGCATCTTTCTGTCAGAGCAAAGACTGTTACATTACAAGCAAGAGATCCTCTCCCAGCCTTTCCAGGTTCCAAGGGCCTTTTCTCTGGCACTTCACTTTAGAATTGCACTATCATGTGAGCATCCAGCTGCTTTTGAACAGGAATTACTCAGCCAGAGCCCCAGAAGAGTCTTCTCAAGCCAGCAGGAGTCTCTGGGGCTGACAGTGCCAGAAAGACTTGCTAGAGTGTAATAGCTTCCCATTGCTCACTTACCAGCTCTGTCTGCTCCAGTTCTTGGAACACACAGTTTGAGAAGTAGAAGCAATCCCTGTAACTACACTGGCTTTTCAGATAGATATTGGTAAGCCTTTCATAGCAGAAAATAACAGCTTACACATAAGGAGACCCACAAAGCAAACAAACCCAACCTCCTCTAAATCCAATTGTACCTGGAGTCTGGACAGAGACAAGTAATACCAGGGAAAGACACTATACTGGCAATGGATCAATTGTACCACTTTACCTTCTGGAAACATGAATTTAATTTCTCTCTCTGCTGAGGCAATGCTGTGGCTGCCATGAAGTGCATTCCTCAGCTTATCAGTCCCATACAGTGCTCTTAAGCTAAAAACAAGAGAAATAACTGCTTGGAGGGCAACTTGATTTTGTTTCAAACATAAGAAGCAGCTACCTAGGAGTTATGTTAGCACACAGCACTCCCCGTAAAATAGGTGAACTTTACATACTAAAAAGTAAAGGTGAAAAGCTGCTACACAGAACTGAAGAGATAAAGAGCCACTGCAAATCTGTATCTGTACTGTACAAACAAAAAAAACCCAACCCACCACCCAAAACAAACAAACAAAAGGGAATTCTAGTCTCAGTTAAGAGAATGATAAAATTCTCCTGTCTTGCCCAAGGCCAGAGAGTTACCTGTGAGGGTGAGTTCTCTGAGCTCTTATGCTGTTGGATGGTCCAAGCAACTCCTTCCAGTATGAGACGGCACAATGTCTGGCAAGAACCAGAGCGACTATAGGTCCAGAACTCATATAGGCTGTTAAATTAGGGAAAAACACTTTCCCAAATTGGTCTGCATAGAAGTTGCTACATTGCTCTGGGCTTAAGTGGAGTTTCCGTTTCTATAAAGTGTAAAAGACAAAAACAGAGTTAAAAACAACTTGCTACATTACAAGAGATAAGACCAGTAAAAGATCTCAGATAGGATAGAGTTCTCGGCTGTGCTCATATCTTCAAGTGAAGAACACAGAGTAATTTCTGAGCCTAATCTGATACTCCCAGATCTGATCAGCTTGGAGATACAGAGTAACAAAGAGAAAGTTTCCAAGTTAATTAAGCAACACCCCATTGGAGTAAGAGGTGATTGTAGCCCAGGCAAATTACAGCATTTTCTAGCCACTGGATGCCAGTCAGGGCACTGTACAGAAAAAGTGAAGAGCATTACAGGGGCAGGATTTCATTGCTCAGCTGCTCCAGCATAATGTTCTACTTTTAAACAAGTTTCTCTGCAGCCCACACTGGTAATTATGCAATTGTTCTATTTTTCAATCAGTACTCATGCTGTATGAGTCTCACAATAGCTGCCTAGCCTGCAGGTGCCTAGGATGAAGGCAACTTTGGGAGGTTACACAAAGCATAGGGCAGTCAAGAAAAATGTTTTGAAGTGCGTTCTTTGAGCTCAAACTTATCCAACACAAGACTACCTCGAATTCAGAGCCCTCATAACTTTGTCAAAGTCACTGGAGACATCAGAGGGATCTATTAACATCTTGCAAATAAATAAGTAAATAAATAAATCTAATTTGTCCTGTCTTCTGATACATATCGTATCAATAGAATCATGGAATGGTTTGGATTAGAAGGGACCTTAAAAATCATCTCATTCTAATCCCCCTGTCATGGTTGCTCCAAGACCCACCCAGCCTGGCTTTGAATGCTTCCAGGGATGGGGCAGTCACAGTTTTTCTGGGCAACCTGTATCAGTGCATCACCACCCTCACAGGGAAGAATTCCTTCCCAAACTCCCATCTGTCCCTGCCCCCTGTCAGTGTGAATCCATTCCCCCTTGTCCTGTCACTCCAGGCCCTTGTCCCAAGTCCCTCTCCATCTCTCTTGTAGCCCCTTTAGGCACTGGAAGGGGCTCTAAAGTCTCCCTAGAGCCTTCTCTTCTCCAGGCTGCCCACCCCCAGCTCTCTCGGCCTGTCTGCATAGCAGAGCTGCTTGGAGCATCTTCGTGACCTCCTCTGGAGATGCTCCAAAAGGTCCATAAATAAAGAAATACAAATAATAAATACAAACAAATGGAACAACCGTAAAGGTAAGGAAGGAAATGGAAAAAAGAAAACAAACCCAAACAATGGGGGAGGGAGGGAAGGAGGAGGAAGGGGGAGGAGAAAGAGAAGGAGGAGGAGGAAGGGGGAGCTCCGGCCGCGCCAGGCGCGATGGCACAGCGACTCCCAGCGCCGGTTCCGGGCGGGACGCGGCGGTCGGAGATTCTATCCTGCTCCATCCATCCATCCATCCATCCACCTCATCCTCCTCCTGCTCCTCCTCCGGCTCATAGTAACACGGCTTTTCCACACGCTGTCAGAGCCCCGTAACGAGGCGCTGAGAGCACATTTCTAACGGGAGATTTCCTCTTAGCATAATCTCTGCTGACAGTCACATCCAGAGCCTCTCCCAGCAGCACAGGGTCTGACACTGGTGCTCAAGGCAACATTCCCATGGCCTCCATGGCAGGAAAGGACAAGCTCAGTAAGATCTGTTTATGTCAAATATTTGTGATACACTTAGAGATTCATAAAGTCCATTACAGTAAAAACAGTGGAAGCAAAAAATGAGTCAGACGGCAACCAGCCAGCTAATGAACTCAATTAATTCCCTAAAATCCACTTGTAAGCTGCACAAAACCTTGTGATACCAGCATGATGTGCTCTCCAAAGAGTTACTTTGGAGAGTACACACATCTGCTCCCTACATTTGCTAAACCAGAGTTATATTAACAAAGTCTGTGTTTTCCTGTGGTCAGCTCTGTTTCTTTCCATGCACCAAAAATAATGTCTCCTTACAGAATCTGGCAGTGATGCCTGATGACATATGAAAAATATACATTGATTTTTGGACACACAGGCTTTTAGTTACTGGCTTGATTGCTGAGAGTTAAATAAATTTTGTCCTGACTCACAAACTGCAGCTCTTTTCTCTGCAGCACAGACTGTTACCTGGACAATCAGGAATCCTGAGCGGAGAATGAGATCCTCTATTTCTTCTTCTTTATCAATGACATCTGGTTTGATGAGAGCCAGAGTTCTTTCCACAAAGGTCTGAGGTTCAGGCATTAACATCTGCATCTTGGCTTCTGAATTAGATTTCACCTGTCCCTTGTGTACTGCAACGACACCAGTTCATGACATTTGGAGCTTGTCTACTGCACAGTCACCTGCAGTGACAGTCACCAGGTACCCCAGGGACAGACAGGGTCACCCCATTTCACAAAATCCACATGGTTAACACTCTGTTTTTCACATTCTCATTGTTATTTACTTCTTGTGTTTATGGGCTCAAGACAAAGTGATGGGTTTCTGACTGAGCAGATCCATTACCAAGCTGAGAGTACAGAACTGTGTTATGACAGAACTACCACAGGGGCTTCTTACAGCCTTGTGACCTTTTCATCACAGACTCACAGACTGGTTTGGGTTGGAAAGACCTTAAAGATCATCTCATTCTACTCCCTGCTATGGGCAGGGACACCTTCCACTACCCAAGTTGCTCCAAGCCCCATCCAGCCTGGCCTTGAACACTTCCAGGGATAAGGCATCCACAGCTTCTCTGGGCAAACCTGTGCCAGCACCTCACCAGGGAAGAATTTCTCCCCAATATCCAATCTATCCTGCCCTCTGTCAGTGGGAAGCCTTTCCCCCTTGTCCAAAGTCCCTCTCCAGCTCCCTTGTAGCTCCTCTAAGCTCTGCAAGGTGCTCTGAGGTCTCCCTGCAGCCTTCTC